ATCTTGCCATTTGCAACGACGTGGATGGAACTGGAGGGTGTTATGCTGAGTGAAATAAGTCAATCAGAGAAAGACATGTATCATATGACCTCACTGATATGAGGAATTCTTAATCTCAGGAAACAAACTGAGGGTTGCTGCAGTGGTGGGGGGTGGGAGGGATGGGGTGGCTGGGTGATAGACATTGGGGAGGGTATGTGCTATGGTGAGCGCTGTGAATTGTACAAGACTGTTGAATCACAGACTTGTACCTTTGAAACAAATAATGCAATATATGTTAAGAAAAAAAAAAAGAAGAAGATAGCAGGAGGGGAAGAATGAAGGGGAGTAAATCCGAGCGGGAGACAAACCATGAGAGATCATGGACTCTGAAAAACAAACTGAGGGTTCTAGAGGGGAGGGGGGTGGGGGGATGGGTTAGCCTGGTGATGAGTATTAAAGAGGGCACATTCTGTGTGGAGCACTGGGTGTTATGCACAAACAATGAATCATGGAACACTACATCACAAACTAATGATGTAATGTATGGTGATTAACATAACAATAAAAAAATAAAAAAGAAAGAAGGTTACCAGGCTTAAAGGCAATTGGCATCTACTCATCTGTTACTTCTAATAGTCCTAACACACAGTAAGAAGTATTTATTTCGTTGCTCAGACTCTAAGATTGGCTGTGTCTGTTGCTGGACAACTTTCCTAATATGGTAAAATGAAGCTAATCCTCTACTTCAGTTTTGCTGCACATACTCAGATACCAGTTATTTATTTGGAAACAAAATCAGGAAAATTTCAAGTATGTTATTTCCTAATAAAGATAAAAGTACAGACACTATTTCTCTGTCAAGTGAAAATATATTGAAAGAAGCAAAAGTAAGGACTAAAAATATGAAGAGTGAGACTGGACTCAAAATCTTATTCAAAGCCTGAAGATTTCAGACAAAAACAATAATACATTAGAATTCTTACTCACTTTTTAAAGACTTCAGAGCCTCTAATATCCTATTTTGATACACCTTTCCATCATCTGTTTAAAAAAAAAGGCATTGGTTTACGAAACAGGGAAATTCATAAGGGAATTCATAAGAATAGAATTTATTTCTTATATTCAAAAAGAATAATTTGTCCTAGAATTTTGTTCTGTTTTACCTTTAAGTAGCACTAAAGTTAAGGAATGCTGAAATCTTTAAATGTACAAATGTACACTTTGTCTCACATGGCTATTTTTAGCAGAATTCCATCATGCTGAAATACACACGATCAGGTTGTTTCAAGTGTTTCAAGTATTTCACATCCATTTATATACACACGTTGATGTCCCTTGTCCAGTGTCCATTCTTACATTGGGTTGTCTTTTTACTTAACAAAGAGGTCTTTAAGAAGCTCATTATGTCTTTGTCATACCTGATGCAAATGCTTTTTCTAAACCGTGATTTGCTTTTTTTTTCCTCATGCAGTTTTAAATCTTGTGAATTTAATATTTCTGGGTGTTTGATGGTAAATATTTCTGCAATTGATTCAGAAAAAAAGTGTGCACACGTGTGTGTGTTGGGGAGAGAGAAAGAGAGGGTGTGAATAAATGATAAAACAAATGGGTAAACTGAACAAATTGGTTAATCTTGGTAAAGGGAGTTCTTTGTACTATTCTTAAGACTTTTCTAAGTTTGAAATTATGTCAAAATAAAAATAAAAAGTTAAAATAATAGGAAACAAAAAACCCAACCATCTAAAAATATTAAAATTCTTTTTAAGCAACATTTGGGTCATTGCTTATCTTATCATGGCAGGTTTTCACTGGAGAGTTCAGAGTCTCAAAACAAAATCTATATGACACTAACAGAGCTTTATAAGTTTTTAGTTTAAGCTTTTTATTTTAATATGGTTTGAGACTTACAGAAAGTGGCAAAAATAGTACAAAAAATTCTCATACTCTTCACCCAGATTTTTCAAGTGTTAACATTTTACCATATTTCTTTTATCATCCTTTCTGTATATGAATGTTATTTTTTTTTCTGAATGTTTGTAAGTTGCAGACACAATGCCTTTAACCCCTGAATACTTTAGTGTGTATTTTCTTTAAAAAAAAAGTATGCAACTGATGACTCACTAAATTCTACCTCTAAAATTAGTAAGATAGTATATGTTGATTAAATTGAATTTAAATAAAAAAATTAAAAAATATACACATACATATATATACACACATATATATACTTCTCTCACACAACCACAGTACAATTATCCAAATAAAAAGATTAAAATTGGTGCAGTACACTTAACTGATGTACAGAATTTACTCAAATTTCACCAATTTCTCCATTGATGTCATCTATAGCAAGCATTAAGTTGTCATGGCTCTTTATTCTTTTTTTTTTTTAAGACTTTATTTATTTATTTATTTGAGAGAACGAGAGAGAACACAAGCAGGGGTGGGGGAGTGAGAGAGGGAGAGGGAGAAGCAGGCTCCCCACTGAGCGGGGAGCCAAACTCGAACTCGGGGCTCAATCCCAGGACCCAGGGATCATGACCTGAGGCAAAGGCAGATGCTTAACTGACTGAGCCACCCGGGGGCCCCTTTTCATCCTTTAATGTGGGACAATTCTTCAGTCTTTGTATTTTGTGATTTTCACATTTTTGGAGAGTACAAAACATCACTTTGTAAAACATCCTCCAATCTGGGTGACAGGTTTTTAAAATAACCCAAAGTTTCTACTTCCCAGTAGTCTTTAGGCCTTCCCTCTCAGGCTTGAACAAAGTCTAGTTGCTAAAAAGGGTCCAGCTGCATTTTTTAGGCTTACCCCTAATGGGCAGTGCTTTCACCAGCTTTGTATATTCCGGATCAGCGAGTTCAATCCCCATATTTTTCAGTACATTTTCCAAGTTATCGATATCAACCTTTTCACCTTCAAAAAGTTAGAAATAGGTGTACATATTATTGATGATCCCAAATTTTAAGTTGAATAGCAAAAGTACAATGCAGTCCTCATTCATTACATAGTCTTGAAACCTTAGTTGATCTTTCAATACTAATAGGTAAGGGATTTTTTTTTTAATTTTGGGAAAAAATAAATTCATTTCTATTACTGTTCAAATTAATCCACATAGGTGGGTAATGTAAGAAAGTGTTACATGATTTTATTAATAATGTAATTGTTGACAATGTTAACTCAATCCTTCAAAAATCTACAGTGTCATTTATTGTGCCTGACTAGAGTTTCATGCAGGGAATCATTTTATTAGGTAGTAAAGCTCTACAGAATGCAGGATCTTACTAAGATTTAGTCCTGTAGGTATTTTTTGTATTTTTTTTAAATTTTTACTTCCTTTTGCCAAACTTAAATTTATATAATCTAAGACAAAACTTTCTATTGGATCTAGTGGCAGGATATTGGGAAAACACCACAGAAAAACAGAAATTATTGTAAAGCCTTGGGGGCCGCCAGGATATTACTAAAGTATCACTAACCTGTGAAAGATTTCACTGCATCCATTACCTGTTTTATATCAACTTTTCCATCAACTGAAAGACAACATACAAATTACACTCATATGTAACATTAGAGAAGAGAAAATGAGCCAAAAGAATTTAGTAATTATCACCTGCTCTAGAATCTTATTCTATTTTCCCCCTTCATTAGTGTGAAGAAGAAAAAGGTTTTATACCTCACAAACACAGTTAATGTGACATTAACTTTTTTGCTTTAAGATATTAAAAATTTTAGTCATAGAAGAATGATATATAAAGGAAATTCCTTCTATCCTAGCTGCTTTTTAGCATTTAGATCTTAGAAAATTATTTACCTAGGCTATTGGGAAAAAAATCAAAAATTAATATCTACAATATTTCAGTGTTTTAAGTTTTGAAAATTTCCATTCATGTAAAGTCAGCCCACACTCATTACTTATTCATTGTTACTATTAAACTGAAAAGACTTCATCAACCCTTTAAATTATATGTGCAAGTTGGTAATTATTTAAGACATACTAGAGGTTAACTGTAGCCTTCAGATATATAATAGATATTCAATGGTTTGTTGTATCAGTTTTAATTTTTTTAAAGATTTATTTAATTTGAGAAAAAGAGTGAGTGAGCATATGGGTAGGGAGGGGCAAAGGGAGAGGGAGGGAGAGAGAGAGAATCTCAAGCAGACTCCCCACTGAGTGCAGAGCCTGATGTGGGGCTCTATCTCATGACCCTGAGATCACGACCTGAGCCGAAACCAAGAGTCGGATGCCTAACCAACTGAGCCACCCAGATGCCCCTGTATCAGTTTTTAAAGGGACAATAAAATAGAAATATTACATAGAATTAGCTCACTAAATCAGAATCTCAATTGTACTATGTTTCTAGAAGAGAAAAGCAGCAAAAACATTTTTGCACTTTTATTTTCTGAATATTTACCTATTGTTTGACTAACAGCAGAAGACAAATTTGAAATGTAAACTACATTATTGAGAAAATATAACTAATAAGGGCAATACAAAAATCCATTATGATCTCTGATGGGCATGTTGAGCTAAAAGAAGGTCTTCAAGGCAAAAGTTGACTGGCTCACGTCTAGAATCATGTTTTTCTATATGTTATTGTAAATTCAAGCAACAGACAAAATAAGGAAACAAAACACACATGTTGCACTAGTGGATCAAAAATAATGGAAAATAAAAGAGTAATTTAACAAAAGGTCTTCTAGAAGGAGCTTATCTCTGACAGATGGAAAGTAAGAAATGACAAAGATGCCACTGAACAGCATCAGAATAAGGTGAGAAAAAACTGATTTGCCCAATGGGAGTAGCTAGGTAGGAAATGTTCCAGGTGAGATATTTCTTGGCCTTATTGGAATCTTCTAAGGTTAATATATTCCAGTTCTTGTTCTTCCAGAAGGGAACTGCTTTAACAGTCACACTTCAACTTTACTTAACATTTCTTAAAAACCAGAGCTTGTTTCTAGCTTATTAAAAGGGAACTGAAGCCTAGTATCAGCTCTTGGATGGTGGAGTCTGGCTACCTCATATGGGAATCCCTAAAGCCTTCTAAGGAGGGAGAACATGCCAAACATGCTGGCCCAAATTGTGGATAACTTTACTTTGTGACAAGGGTCTATGAGGCGACAGAAAAGGGGACATACTATTTCTTTCTCTGTATTGTAAATAGCTGAGGGAACATGGTCTCTGCAAATATGAAGCAATTTGGGGTGAAATTTTAATCATTATTATACCCATTAGGGCTTTTTCCCTTATCTATTTCCATTTGACCCTTAAATTCTCTTACATTCCACAGTCATAGGTCCTGCCCTCTGTACCCGCTTTCCACATTTTTTCTTCTTCCTTGCCTCCCTCTTGGCCCTTCACCAATCCTGGTGACATTCTCAGCAATGTGGAGACTTCACAGTACAAGAAACCACTAACATAGATTGATAGAAATGTCAAGAGAAAAGGTTTGTTCTTACTTTAGTATTGGGTCCTTCTTAAAGTTTTCCTAAATGACAGATGTCAAGTAAACATTTTGAAAAGGTTTGCGAATATAATATCATAAGCCTTTAGAGGGACTTAATAATAACAGTAATGATTATAATAATAACAAAATGATGATAATAATAAGCAACTTCATTGAACACTATTATGTGCAAGGCACTGGTCTGATTTAACCCTTATAAAAAACTCTTATTAAGTAGGTGCTATTAATGTACCCCTTTCACAGATGAAGAAACTAAGGCATAGAAACATTAAGGTGACACAAATTTTAAGCAGAAGGATTAGAATTCAAACCTAGTCAGTCTGGCTTCAGAGTCTGTGTTTTTAACCACTGCACTGGTCTGACTCTGAATGATCATTCACCATCTGAGGCTCACCATCAACATCAAAGGAGCGGCCTCACCTAAGATATGTCCCTTCTCAGAGAACAGCCTATATCCAATGACTGGTTGATGTGAGCACAAGGCCCAACCCCTGTGGGATCAGCAGAGGCTTCTGTAGCAACTGTACTGCCGTTGAACTTCCTCTACCCAATCCTGCTTCCCTCATTCCTTTATAGGTATTGTTCTGAGAGTATTCCCCAAGAAACCTCGTGCATATAAACCTCTGCTATAGGTCTGTTTCCTGGGATCAAACAAATAGCAAGTTATGAAGAAAATACGCCAACAAGAATTACATACCCCTTGTTCATCAATTCTGAAACACGAATAGGGGGGTTAAGAAAAGTCACAGTTTCCATTGTTCAACTGGGATTTAAAGTTCCTGAACATTAGCATGGACTCATGGAGACTTGCCCAGAAATGTGGGAATCCATAGTGTTAAGAGTAGGAGAAACATGACATACTTCCTAGAATCACCACAATGGTCTTCCTCTGCAGCAGCTGCCATCTACAGTGGAGAGACATTACTCCTTACTCCTCTTAACTTTCTATTTTGAATAGCTATGGAAAATATGACCATCACTATTTACTTAAGCAAATTCCTGGTGGCACTTTAATAATTTTCAACTATTATAATTTCTTCCTTCTATTCCTCATCATATTCTACTTCCACCCCCCCACCTTCCTCTTACTTTATTTCTTTTACTGTTTCCTCTTTTCTGATTTATTCTTTTTCTCTGCCCTGCCAGTAGTCCTGAGAATTTCCCTGAGCCTAGCACCACAGTGCAGAAAGCTGTCATGAAGTTGATGAGACTGACAGGAGAAAGGATTCTTACTTTAAGCCTATTTTTTCTCTCTAAGTTTTTCTAAAGTGCTTTTTGATTCCAAATAATCATACTCAGGGTTTTTGTAAAAAAAAAATGCATATTTTCCTGTGCTCTTGTGGAGGACAGTGATGTTTACATGGTTACCATTTTCTGGAAGATTCTGTGTCAGATCTTTAAGTTCCTCTTCTGTGAGGCTCATGCCCATATTTCCCAGAACTATGTCCAGCTTGTTGACATCAACCATTCCTCCTTGGGAAAGAGATGTGTATATAGACAAAATTTAAGGAATCCAAAAAGTGACAAAACCACTAATTCTTATGTATTACGATTAACCCTTTAGCATACGGGAGTAAGACTCAAGGCTCAGTAAATCTGATAAAAATGATAACAAAAATCAATAACAGGCATAATAATTAAAACCTCTTCAAATAAGTCTGGTTCCAAGGACTAAGCTACATGGCATAAAGTTTTAAAGGGGAAAATTAATTAATTTGAAGGTTACAGTAGTCCCCCCTTATTTGCGGATTAGCTTTCTACAGTGTCAGTTACCCACTGTCAACCATGGTCCGGAAGCAGATATCTTCCTGACCTATCATCAGAAGGTCCAGAGTAGTCTAACGCTACATCACGATGCCTATGTCATTCACATCCCCTCATCTCATCATTGTAGGCATTTTACCACCTCATATCATCACAAGAAGAGTGAGTACAGTACTACAAGATATTTTGAGAGAGAGAGAGAGAGAGAGCACATTCATATAACTTTTATTATAGTATATTGTTATAACTGCTCTATTTTATTATTGTTGTTAATCTCTTACTGTGCCTAATTTATAAATGAAACTTTATCATAGGAATGTTTGTATAGGAAAAAAACATAGTATATATTGGGTTCAGTACTATCCAATAAGGGGAAACTACTGTTTAGTCAATTCCGTATTAGAGTCATATGGAGATGACAACTTTTGTATTTTTTTGACCAATAAGTGAAGTTTATTTTTGTTAGCTGAAACTTCAGATTATTTCTACTAATGACCAAATTACCTGCATAGGCTTCATTCATTTTTTTTCTCTAAGTTCAAAAAAATTCCCTAGGAGTACGAGACTTCTTCCCAGCACACAAAAGTAAAAATATAATAGTGAGTTACAAACAGTCTTATGAAGGAGTATAAGATCAATATAGATGCCCAGTGATATTCAAAATTTAATGACTAGGGAAGAGTGGAAATAAAAAACTTGACAGATTGCAGATCTATCTGTACTTTCTCACAATTCTTACTCACCTTTAAGAGACTTAACAGAATCCATTAGCCTATTTTGATAGATCTTTCCATCTGCTGTAAGAAATTGCACAATTAGGGTCACAAATTATGTAGGAATTCACTAAGATAAAATATAAGAGTTATAATTTTAAAAAGATATATTTGATTACTTACACTAGAAATATCCAATTTACTCTAAACAATGAAATCAAGAAATAAAGAAGATTCACAATGCAGATATTCCACCTACTCATCAACAGTAGAGACAGCTATTCTTGGCTAATGCCCATACTGAAACATATTCTTTTTCATTTCTCTCTTTGACTTGTCTTTCTTCACCTCTAGTGCATACTTTCTGTTTCTCATATTCACAGTTTAATTTTTTTCCCTCTCAGTGGACTTGAAAGTGAAAATATGAATTTTTCCCCCTAATGGCAGGACTCATGACTGCTGTATTTGTTATTCCTAAACTGAGATGGAATTTCTTCATTCTGAGGCAGAGCAAGGTCATACTGAATATTGCAAGATATGTATTCTTTCTTCCACGATCAAATAAAGACAATTTTTAAACTTTTCACAAATATGTAATAGTAAGTTCCCTTAAAGTCTATACTAGTATTTGAAATTCTTACCATTTATTGGTAGATTTTTCAGCAGTGTCAACCATTCCTTTTTTGTGAGCTCTAATCCCATGTTTCCTAGACTATTTCCCACAACACTGACATCAATCTCCCCTCCTTCAAAAACACAAGATAGAATCAGATAAGAACTTTAAGGATGACCTAATTTCAAAATGTGAAAAAAAATCATCTGAGCCTGTTCCACATGAACTTTACTGCTTGATGAAGGCAGAGTGTAACATATCTAATTATATAACCAGTAGCATTCATCTAAATAAATCCCTTCCCTTAACACTATTAAAATGACCCATGTCATATTAATGGAGATAAAATTACACAATTACAAAAAGTGTGGACTATCAAAACAAGAAAAGAAGGAGTACATATTTTTCTAGTGAATTAGGATTTTATTAGGATTGATCCAAATAATTCCATCATCAGATTAGACAGTGTTTCTGATCATCTTTAAATAATATAATCACCTATATATTTATTAGAGCTTTACTTTACTATTCATTGATTTGATCTAGAATATTTTCCCCCAACATAGGAAAGGTGATATATTAAGGTCAAATTCAAAAAACAAAGAATTTGCTGCCAGGACACAACACTGAAATTTTATTACTAAAGTGTAGACAATCAAAAGCCTAACTCTAAGAAATTAGATTTAAAAAATTCTATCAAATGAAAGATAAAAAGGTAGAATAAACAAGGAAATAAAAATATCTTTGAAATATAATTTTGAATAAACTTTATACTCTTAGGTTAATATTAACTTCTCACCTGTAAGAGTTTTTACTCCATCCATCAACTTATCAAAATCAACCTTCCCATTACCTATAAGAAAAGATAAAAATAATAATGAAGTGACCCTAACTTAGAGAAACAAAGTATGAAACCCTTATATTGTGAAAGTCCACTTTTTCTCATTGTGCCCTATGTCAATCTTCAACTTATAAATCCTGGTTTTCAGAAATTCTATAATAGACACATGCCTTATTCCCTATCAGAGGTTGGTAAACTATGGAACACTGGCCAAATCCAGCCCACCATCTTTTTTTTTTTTTTAAGGTGCATATATCTTTTTACTTTTTCACCAACTATTTTTATATGACCCATGAGCTAAGAATCATCTTTACATTTTTAAATGGTTGAAAAACCCAAAAGGATATTATTTGTGACACATAAAAACTATATAAATTTCAAATTTTCATGTCCATAAATAAAATTTTATGGGAACACAGATGCACTCATTTGTTTACACATTGTTTATGGCTCCTTTTGCACTACAACAGCAGAACTGAGTAGTATGACAGAGATCACGTTGTCCACAAAGCCTAAAATATTATCTGGCCTTCACAGAAACACTGCCAACTCTGCCCTAGATGATGGAGTCTACAGAGTGACAATATATACTTCTGAGTTGTTTAGATTCACCTTACTGTATAAACATGGGAGAAACCATTACTGATGTTGGCCATATTCTATGATCCTGCTCAATTATAATATAGCCATAAAGCCTACCTATCATTGTATAATAAATGGAAAAAAACAATAAAACTTTTATAATCTTTCATATATTCCCAATATAATTTTTAAAAATGTTTTATTTATTTATTTATGAGAGACAGAGAGACAGAGGCAGAGGGAGAAGCAGGTTCCCCGCTGAGCAGGGAGCCCAACATGGGACTTGATCCCAGGACCCCAGGATCATGACCTGAGCCGAAGGCAGACGCTTAACCATCTGAGCCCCCCCAGGAGCCCCCCAATATAATCTTTTAAACAAGTCTTCAATTACTATGATAATCGTGGAATGGCTAGTGACACATGACTGGTGTATCTTTGAAGTAACCGTTAAAGACTTTATTCATCTCGTCATAGGTCAATTTCCCTTCCTTTCTTATTTTCCACTACTTTTACTTATTTAGTCATTATATATTAGTTACTGACAAGTGGCCAAGTAGTCCCTAAGTGGAAGTGTGGTATTTAACAGGGTCACAAAGGTCACCACTGAAGCTGCTAGCTTGGCTTGCCACATTTCCGTAGATTTTGATGGTAATGGGACAATAAGCCCAAATGAATTAAGACAGTTACTTATAAACTAGAAGCAAGATCAGCACAGTGTTGATTCCTGCCTCTTTAGTCCCAGAGTACACTGAACAAGCTGGGCCAGATGACTGGTGGCATATACAATGAGTCGTTCTGCTGCTGAGGTACTCACTCAAAACTGTAAACAACCAGTTTTACAGATGTACACAGAACCCTGCAGCTGTACCCTAAGGGAGAGAGGTGGAAAGTCTGTGTTCAACAGAAACTAGGGAGATGAACGAGCAATGACCTTGTAACAGTCTCCTGCAGATAGGGAAGCAGATAGAGAAACTGTTTGGTGGCAGCTCCTCACAAGGCTGCTTACCTCCCCTTGTTCCAGGAGGAAACATGAAGCTTTCAACAAAGACTTACGTTAGATTTGCGTCAAGATGTGTTTACATGGTCTACGTGGAGATGTCCATAGTTGTCAGAGAAGAGCCATTCCCCTCAAATTACATACTTAATAGTTGAAATATGCTAGGTCACAAGGGTACAAAGATAATTAAAGTGTACTTTCTACCATTACTTCAGAGTTTAGAAAAACTGGTATTCTGAGTAAATAAAATTCAGAGATAGTGTACAGATATGGAAGACTCATGATCCAATTGCCTGAAGTTTTCCCATACACACCACATAGTAATTTTCCTTTTCCATATATAACAAATTAAATTAGGGGATTATTATCTATTATTCTTAAGCAAAGTATTTTAAATATACATGTGTCCTACTTCAAAAGATAGATGACAAACTGCAATAAGAATATGAAAATCATCTAGGCCTAGAAATTTACTCACTTTTTCTTATCATTTAGAATGTTTATTTTATATTTATTGAATGATGTTTAGAATTAAACAGATTTTTAAAATACTCTTATGCAAACACAAAAATATGTGAAACAAACTTGCAATTACTATAATTTCATTTTTAGAGTCTAATTCTTTTGCATTGCTGTTCAATATTTCAACTCAGAATCTCTGGTGTCTATATCTTTTTGAATTAGCATTTTCGTTTTCTTTGGGTAAATACCCAGTAGTAGAATTATTGGATCATATGCTATTTCTATTTCTAATTTCTTGAGGAACTTCCATATTGTTTTTCACAGTAGCTGTGTCAATTTACATTCCCACCAAAAGTGCATGAGAGTTCCTTTTCTTCTACATCCTCATCAACACTTGTTATTTATGTTTTTGATTTTAGCCATTCTGACAAGTGTGAGATGATATTAGATTGTGGTTTTGATTTGCATTTCCCTGATGATGAGTGATATTGAGCATCTTTTCATCTGTCTATTGGCCATCTGTATGTCTTCTTTGGAAAAATGTCTATTCAGGTCCTCTGCCCATTTTTAAATCAGATTGTTTGGTTTTTTTGGTGTTGAGTTGTAAAACTACTTTATATACTTTGGATATTAACCCCTTATTGGATATATCATTTGCAAATATCTTCTCTTATTCGGTAGGCTGCCTCTTTGTTTCATTGATGGTTTCCTTCACTGTGCAAAAGCTTTTTATTTTGATGTAGTCCCAATAGTTTATTTTTGCTTTTATTTTCTTTGCCTTAGAAGACATATCTAGAAAAATATTGCTATGGCTGATTACAAAGAAGGTACAGAAAAGTAGAAGAGGGGAAGACTAGAGAGGGAGAAAGAAACCCCAATCGTTATGGTCAGATTTACATTGAATGGATCATTCTGTCTATTATGTGAAGAGTGGATATGAAATAACAAAATTGTAGGCAGAGAGAGAGAGTTATCTAGCAGTCTAAGCAGAGATAAAAAGAAATAGAAATAAGGGCAGTGATACAGAGCTAAGGAGTAGGAATGGATTTAAGAAATATTTAGTGGTTCAATGAATCACAGAGGGAGGAGCAAGATGGTAGAGGAGTAGGAGACCTAAATTTTGTCTGGTCCCTGGAATTCAGCTAGATACACATCAAACCATTCTGAACACCTACAAACTCAACAGGAGATCGAAGAAAAGAATAGCAGCAACTCTCTGAACAGAAAAGTGACCACTTTCTGGAAGGTAGGACGTGCGGAGAAGTGAATCTGAGGCGATATTCGGGAAGACAGATGGCGGGGGAGGGGGCCTCTGTCAGCCGCTACTGGCAAGTGATACAGCTGCAGAGCACAAAATCAGAACTTTTAGAAGTCGGCTCCACTGAGGGATGTAACTCCAGTGGCTAAGCGGGGGGTGGAACCCTCGCGGGACAGTGTGGTCTCAGGACCCTCGGGGTCACAGAAAGACTGGGGGTGCCTGAGAGCGGCAGAGCTCCCAGGTATTGGAGCAGGGAAGCTGGCTGCAGAGACGGAGCTGAGGTGCGGGCTCTCAGCTTGGGGTTGCCATAAACTGTGATCCACGGCACAGTCAGGCCCCTACTCCTCCAGCAGGGACCCAACAAGCGGCAGAGCCGGGGAGACTCCCCTTCCTCTCCCGGGAGGAGCGGCGCGGGAGCGCACCGCAGGGATCTGCTGGGTTTGGAGACTCCACATGGGGTCAGGTGCCAGACATAGAAACGCTCGGTCACAGGCCGGGTGAGCACGGAGTGCGGCCAGAGACTGGGGAGACGGGAGTGACTGACTTCTTTTCTCTGGGGGCTCACTGAAGAGAGTGCCCCAAGTTCTTGGCTCCTGGCGGGGGGAGATTGGGAGGCTGCCATTTTCACTCTCATCCTCCAAAGCTGTACAGATAGCTTGCAGGGAACAAAAGCTATGGAGAACAAACCCCAGCAGATTACTGAGCCCGAACAGGCAAGGGCAGGGCAATTCTGCCCCGGCAAAGACATTTGGGAACCACAGCAACAGGCCCCTCCCCCAGAAGATCAGGAATAACAGCCAGCCAAGACCAAGTTTACCGATCAATGAGAACAGCAGAACGCCAGCACTAGGGGAATACTGCACGTAGAATTCATGGCTTTTTCCCCATGATTCTTTAGTCTTTCAAAGTTAATTTTTTTTAACTTTCTTTTTCTTTTTTGAATTTTTCTTTTCCCCTTTTTCAAAGAACATCTTATCAAACACTTTTTAAAAAAATTTTTTTTATTTTTCATTTTTAGGGTCATATTCTATCCCTTCATAGTAGTTAACCTTATTTTTGGTATATATATATAAATTGTTCTCTCTTAAAAATTTTGGGATACAGTTTCTTCTAACAGACCAAGATATACCCTAAATCTCTAGTGTATGGCTTTGTTCTAGTCTCCTGCCTGATCACATTCTCTCCCTTTTTTTTAAAATCCTCTTCTTTCTTTTTTCAACCAACTTCTTATCTTATCAATTCCTTTCATAAAATCTTTGATAATTTTCATCTTTACAATCATATTCCATCCCTGCATCATATTTACCCTTATTTTTGTACATATATAAGTTTTCCTTCTTTAAAATTTTGGGAGGCAGTTTCTTCTAACTGACCAAAATATGCCCAAAATCTAGTGTGTGGCACTGATCTATGCACCAGCCTGATCATATTTGATCATATTCTGATTTTTGTTTGTTTGTTTATAACTTTTTCTTTTTTTTTTCTTCTTTTCTTTCTTTCCCTTTCTTTTCCCCCAGTTTCAGGTCTCTTCTGATTGTTTAGTGTATATTTTTCTGAGGTCGTTGTTACCCTATTAGTATTTTGTTCTCTCACTCATCTATTCTCCTCTGGACAAAATGACAAGACAGAAAAAAAAAAAAAGACCTCAAAAACAAAACAAAACAAAACAAAACAAAACACCAAGAGGCAGTACTGACTGCCAGGGACCTAATC